GTTGTTGTGCAGAAACGGCGGTTTCTTTACGAAAAAACGTATGGAGTTCGTAATGAGAAAGTTCGGTTTAAACTATGTAAATAAAAACATAAATAAAAGTTTTTGTGGAGGGACATCGAGTTCTTGACGAAAAAAGATGAAGTTCTTGTGGAGAAACTATGAGTTCCTCAGGAAAAACGTTTTGAAGTTGTGGTGGAGGAACGTCGAGTTTTTCAGGAAAAAAGATTCAGTTCTTGTTTTCACACATCGAGTTTTCCAAGGAAAAGGGTGAAGTTGTTGTGGAGGAATATCTTGGAAAGATAAAAGGAATGTATAAATTCTTGTACGATTCTGAACTTCTTATTTTGAATGCTGTTTTGAATATCTATAAGTTACGTACTTATAGCTGAAAAGATAGGGTAAATTTCCTTATATAAGAGGTTCCAAACTCGTGGATTTATAAGTTTTTGTGAATACTTTATGTTGCGTTTATGCTTAAGTTACCGGAAAATCAACAGAGCAATGAGTTAATTTTTGATGATAGTTTACAATTTTATGCGATCAGAGCTAGAAAGTTTCACTTGTTCTGTATTTTTCAACACAGTTTCATTTTTTCTTTAATATACAATACTTCTGTATGTTTATAGAAGACCGCTTCTAGAATCAAAAACTGAACTAAAACTATTACAGACTGCGATGATCATTGTGGGTCTAGTACCAAATCATTATAGGACTAACTGGTATATTAAAGGGGCCAAAGGACATAATCAAATTTGAACTTGATGAACATGCAAGATTTTTGTATCCATTACAAGTTGATAGTCATCATCGTTATTTGTCAGGTTTAACACTTGCTCTTGGTCTTATTTACTGGAGTCAAATTCCAAATGTTAAACACTCTGGAGCTACAGTACGTTTACTAACATTCCTTGTTGCTGCCGGTGGTCTAGGACGGTTGCTTGGGTGCTTAATCACGGGCTCAATTCCAGATACAATAAATTTTATTGGATTGATAATGGAATTAATTTTTAAACCTTCAGTGGCTTATTGGCAATTGGAAATAACTCAACGAAAAGATGTTTAGGATCGAAACAAGTACAACTCGTTATATACCAAGTTGTAGTTTATTTCTTTTCCCGTTCAGTTATTGGTAAGATAATTCTTTCAATGACTGGCTGGTTACAGGCTAGAAGCTCTAACCACTGAGCTATCGAGGGTTCGAGTCCCAGTTGAGGCATACATTTTCTTTTCATGTGTTTGTCTATCAGATTATATCTCTACTTTTAGCCGTTGTAAAACTTTCTAGCTTCATCTAAAAAGTCCTGTTTACAAAACTCATTTGTAATCGGCTGGCTGGTTGAACTCTTCTTCGTTTTTCTATCGTTATAAAAGCATTTAATTTCAAATAAGCGTCGGATTTGTGATTATCGTGAAATTGAACGGGTTGTTATCTACAACGTTTTCTTCCAGCAGAAAAGTAACTTCTTACCCCTTTGATCCTTACTAAGGTCAAAAGTTAACCTTCTGTTATTACTAAGGGCTAGTCCTAGTTTCCAAGACTTGAACTTTCCTAGATTTAACTGATGTTCTAAAATATTCAGTGCCATATCGATTGTCCATATAAATACAAAACAAAACAAAGTATTTCTTACACAAAAATATTCTGTATATAGTGGAAGCACATGTTATGACAAAGAATCGTGACATACTCTCCTCTCCAAATGAAAACGGAAAAGAAAACAAAAACAAGAGCACCAAAGAAAAAAACTAAGTAGAAAAGCGACAAATTATATATAGAAAAAACTTGCCAATAACTGTTTAATCACGTACTATAATTAAGACTAATATATTTTCGGAAATCGCAAAGCAATAATGGTGCTCACACTATGGTGCAGTAATGATACTCGGATCAGACTCGTCGAGAAATGGAGGCAACACTATCAGATTACTAGCAAAATCTATGGTTTAAACATGTAGGACGTATTTCGTGCGAAAGGCACATGAATTCTTATTGAACTATGGGTAGCGCTACTGCCACCTCCGCAGGGTGACTATCAGAGCCATTGCCAACTCCATAGAAGGCGGGAACAGTCCCAAGAATAAACCATTTTCGTAGAAAATAGATGAAAACATAAAAAAGTCAAACTTTCTGTATGTTCTTGCGATTGAAAACATTCAAAATAATGATATTTGAATAGAACTAAATGTTGTCCATTTAGAACTCAGATCAGTATTATTCTATGACATTTCTATCTAAAGCTATTCAAGATGTACAAAAGGCTATTTTGTTTTTGAATAGACTACAATTAATGCAACAACGGCCTTAATATTCGCTTCCGCCAACTGCCGCATCACAGAGATGCAACCGATCAACAAAACTGTGACCGAACCGACCGGTCACCGAGTAGATACTTGTTGATCGGATGGGACCTGCCGGTTGACGGGTAAACGATCGGTACGCGGATTTTCCTAGAATGCTTGTGGGATGGTAAAAAATATGAATATTCCAAACAGAGAATAATGACTGCAATTATTTTCTTATTCTGACGAGGAATCATTCTTAAGTGACCAACTCAGTTTTTCTTCGTTCATATGTGGATCGATAAAGTATATTGAGATAGTCAAAAGACTGAAAGAATTCAGGTTCTTGGCTCTTCCTTCAAAGTTAGGGCCATTTTTCTATTTTCCTCAACGAAAAAGGCTTAGAATAGAAAAACTCGCATCTCAGTGAAATAAAGAAGCCTTTCACATTAAGGAGAGTACTTTTTTTATTTCAAGTTTTTTGCCAAAATGCTTCTGACAACAATTATTTACAAACTATACAGCACACAGTAACCCTGTAAAAATAAATGTACTAAACTAAACATTCAGAAGTTCAGTGTACATGATAACTTCATAAAAGTCTTCGAAACATAGTACTTTCTAGCAATAGCTACATTTTATGAAAGGAGTATTATTACAATGAGGTTTTTCACAACGGTGACTATCAAAGGTGAAACAAAGGAGAGGGGCGGATAAGGTTATTTTCCGGCCCTTAATATTTTTTTATTAAAAATCATCGATTTCTAGGTTACTCAAGTGTGAGGTTCTACTCACTCACTTCTTCTCTTTATTTAAGAAAGTGGACGGCTATATATAGTACACAAGTTGAACAAGAGTATGTAAGAGTTGCGCAGAAATTGCGCAATAACAGAAAGAGTTGGGAAAACCAGAGCATGACACAAGTATTGCGCAAGAACAGAAAGAAAGGAAAAGAAGAAGAAAACACAGTCATAACATCAAGATGCCGAACAAAATGGCCTATATAGTTTTTTGAAATTCAATACTTCGTTTTTTTCGACCTGAGGTACCCCTCAGGAAAAGTGAAAACTTTTTTCCTTCAGTTTTTTTCGAAAACACATGTATTAGATGCAGAATTTTACGCTGATTTCAAATATCGTATTGATGATGAGAAAAAATTGCATGTTGATGAAGAAAATTGCGCTTTACTCTCCGAAAATAATTCTAATAAAACACTGAGCCGACCAATGTGTCCTTCGAAATTTATGTTTGATTTTTATTTTTTAGTGAAAATCTCGATTGCAAGAGAATAGTGTTCTGAAGGAATAAAACTTGCCCGTTTTTCTATCAATGGTAATACAGGTTAGGAAGTTCTGACTCGCACTATGGCAGCTCACTACTGATTTATTAAATATTAGCCGAAAGCAATGAAAGGTTTTGATTGAAAACATTCATATGCAACGTTTATGCTCTTAATACAACTTCCATCTACTATACATTTTTTGGTAATTATTATGCGTGTCAACAGCATTTGTTATTCTATGTAGCTTTTACAATGTTATTTCTTTAGTAATTCTTTTAAGAAACTACTACTTATTTGCTGGGTGAGAATTGGAACCATCATCAACGTGTGCATGTGGCGCTACTAAAGAAACAATTAAAAACTTCTTCATGAATCTTACTTCCTATGGCGAGTATCGTCGTTCGATGTTTGCAGAGTTGAATACAGTTCCATGAGATACTCGTCTACTTCTCAAACACAAATCTGTTATGGACTGAGTAAAGAATATCTCATAAGAGTGAACAATGCTATTCTTCAATTCATTTGTTCGACAGAAGGTTGAATCAGTCTCGATGTACTTGAAAATATACGAATAGTTCACATCTGAAAGTTAGTTGATCTAAATCAACTAACTTGCAACAGCTCACTGTTGAATCAGGTAAAAGTATTCGCTGACAAATGAGAAGTTTATCAGAAAGTAATTTGCATGGTATTGGGATCGTGATCTCCCTGTTCTAAGAAAAAACCAACTGTTTATATTTATTGAATTATCTTTCGAAGCGAACGTCAAATTTAAATCGACTAGAGTACAGACTGGTCGAAAATGTCGAAGTTTAATTTATAGTTTAAGTTAATTAAGTTTAAGTTAATTTTTTCAATAAACTCTTACAACATATGCAGAATAAAGCTGATTGTTCGCTAATCACACGACAAAACGAGACGAGACATCTGATCACCGGTCGATATCGTCGACATTCGTCTGCTCAGCTATTTCTGCCAAGTGGGCAGCTATCAGTTGATCCGTTATTGAGTGTTAACACACTATGAGGTTTAACACTACGGGGTTAAGACTATTTTACCCATCGCCAGTATTTTATTGAAAAAATATCATGAACTGCTTGACTTGCATTCATTTTCATTTAAACCATTTATGTATACCGCTGTCTGCACTGGAAAAAATATATCCTTTGACGACACATTATTTGACGCACACATTCTCAAAAGAGCAAAACGTGTCCATTCCATGTATAGAAAAATGTCTGGTAGAAGAAAGAATGCATGTCCTTTTGAACTACTTAAATGCTATCTATATTTGTCCAAAAACTGAAAAAGGAGGAACTGGAAGTTGAAACCTTTTATCTGGATTAAGATCATTAGATCACGTCAAAGTTTTCTTAGAAAAGCGATGTTTTCAACCCTCCAAGAAAAGAGGCCCTAAAAATATTTACTTCTATGTTGTGAAGTAAACTGTGTTTAAAGGCTGCTTTACTTCTGTGTTGATAGATGATCAAAAATGATGTCAGTAAAGTAGTTCAAGATATTTGTTGCAGAAAATATCAACGATGGGTAGAATCTTAGTCCAGTGTCGGCTGCTTTTGGATGCTTACAGCTTTATTGAGGTTGATGTTTTCAGAAGAGAATTGTTTCTCCCGCGCGGTCTAGTGGTTAGGATTTGACGCTCTCACCGTCAAGGCTCGGGTTCGATCCGGCACGGGAACATATTTTTGTACTGTTTCCCTTTCATCTTTCTACTTGTTCGTTTTTTTTGCACTAGGTTTTGGGCTTAATTCCAGCAAGATTATACGGACTTTCTAAAGTCTACAAACCAGGAGCTTCGACCTATTACTTCGTGTGTTCAGTCGTAGCATTACGAAGTGGAGAGACTTTTTGACTAAAGTTGTAGCCCCATTATATAGCAGCAAATTTTCGCTCATAAACACAGATGATTTCCTCGCATTCCTAAAACATCATCCCCTTTTAGCAAAGCACAAAATTATCAGTTTTGACATCGAAAGTTTATTTACAAATATCCCAGTATCAGAAAAAATTAATATCATTTGTGAAAAATTCTGCTTTAGTGATCCAGAGTTGAAACCGTTTATTCCCGAAGTATACCTTAGGAAACTTCTGAAGCTATGGGTTCACCTTTGGCAGCAGCCTTTGCGGAAATTTTAATGACTAACCTTGAAGATACACAGATGAATAAGATCTCAAATAACGTTACGAAATTGCTCGTTTGGCGTCGATACGTCGATGACACGCTTACAATAATAGAAGAAGATGCAATGAGGATATTATTCGGAATGAATTAAATGAACTACACGCCTCGATAAAATTCACTTTTGAGAAAGAACACGATAACAAAACTCCATTTCTAGACGTCGTGGTAAAAAGACCGGATGATGGTTTTACGACGAATGTCTTTCGGAAAAAGACAACGACCAGTCTCATGCAGGATTTACGGCATTCCGATAACACCTAGGGCACGTTCGGTGAAACAGTCGAAACATTGACGAAAATAAGACAAAGAATGCCGATGATTAGATCTTGCCGTATATCTGGTTCCACATCTCTTTCTCTCCGTTGCGTTCTCTTCTCTTCCTACGTACTTCCTCTTTTTACGTGTTTGTTTGCTATTTTCCCATTGTTTACTGATAAGCAACGCTCAACTGTATCTCATTTCTACTATACCTGCTTGAAACGTATATATTTTTGTCTCGAATGGAATGACTTTTTCTTTTCGTATTATTCCAGAGAAATTTCTCTTGATGATAGATGTTTTCGTTATTGGGAAAACTACTTGTGTGCTCCTTCAAACTCTACAGATGGAAGACTGTTGTTTGAACAGTCAATTTTAAATGTAAATCGTTCTGCAAGTCTCGACAACGAATTTCCTATTAAATGTATACATCGTTCTAAACGGTTTGTTGCTAACTCATCCGTGCTTAAACCCAGAGGGTAAAGAAATATAACACTGCTATGAAAATCATTTTGAACAAAAACTTTTATTCGTTAGCGAGCTTTCGATGTCTTTCTAACATCATCTTAGAAAGACATCGAAAGCTCGCTAACGAATAAAAGTTTTTGTTCAAAATGATTTTCATAGCAGTGTTATATTTCTTATATTCTCATCCGTGCTTGCTAAATGTTTTGAGTGGTGCAGTTGTAATAATGTTATTGATTCTATTCCATATATCGATATTTCTGACATCTTTTGTATTTCAACAGTTTCTGGAAACTTTTTAATGTTCGTATGAGTACGAGTGTGTGTCCTTATCTTTCTTTCGCCCTTTAAGAGTGATATATTTATTGCTCAATACTATCAGATTTTCTCCGTTTGTTTTCATCTATTTTTATGTATCTATTAATTCTTAATTTTCTAAATGATATTTATTTTTTGTGGAACTCAGGCTCGTTCTTCCGAAGGTTCAACCACTTGCTACAAAAAGATCATCCATAATCTTTCCAACGTCTTGAAACCGCTCTACTTGTTTAACGTTCCAAATTTCAACCGTCGAGAGTCACTCTTCAACCAACTCATACAACTTCGATGGCCAACGATCGTCCTCCTACTGAGGAACGAAGAATCTTTGGTGATTTTATTATTGTGTATCTTGATGAAGAAAGAATCTACAACGACTCTCTTCTATCTGAACTTCGTTCTCTCTTGAATCGTTTCATAATACCGATCACGTAACGTTTACCTATTTCTAATTGCTTATGTCTTAAAAAATGACATCATATATAGTTAACAGCAAAGAAAATCTAGGAATTTCTAAAGTAATTGCCGTTCAACGATCAGAATTTTGCCGCCACCCGTACTATGTTATAAATTTTAGAATAGAGATAGTTTTCCAAAAACTCATCAGGGTTTACTACTTAAGTGACCTCATTAGCGTTATAATTCTTACATTAATCTATGCTCTCGAGAGTCGTCTATACCATACAGAAAACCATATGTCCACATCATTTTGCGTTCGCGAGTTATTCGGAAATCAAAAAACAAAAAAGCGTCCTGAATTGGGTGCTACTCGAAGGGTTAATTCAAGGCATTCGCTCTTTTTTTAGTTTTGTTTATGAAAAAGCATTTCTGCTAGATTTCATAGATCTTCTGTTATTTAAGATAATTTATCCCTAACTAATGCCAACTGTTTACGTCCATCAGCAACGAATAGCTGAGGCGTTTGTGCTAAGTTTTGTAAATGAAATTATACTACAAAATGTTCTAAATTTTTCTGTTTTTCTTCAATTTGTTTTTTTCTTTCATCTATCGTGAAGTGAATTGCATAGCCACTCTACCATTCATGCAAACAAATCGATTGAAAAAGGTTTTGAGTCGTATGTTTCATAGAGCACTTTCAACTGCCTAGTGAAAAAAAATGAGCGTGATTTCGGAAGTTCCTGCGGGAAAAAGTGAAACATTTTCACGCGGGAAGTGAAAGTCTTCTGCGGGAAAAAAAGCACTTTTTCCGCCGCATTCTGCAAGAATCTTTTGAAAATCTGAAGAACTTCGTTCTTTTCTTAGGGAAAATTTCCGCGTAGTTTAAGACATTTACGACGAAAAATCTCGGCAGAATTCTTCTCTTTTCCCGATGTAGAAGAATTCTGCAGAATGTTTTCGTCGTAAATGTCTTAAACTAAGCGGGAATTTTTGCGCAGAATTCTGCGGAAACATTTTCTGCAGAAAAATATTTTCACGGTTGTCTCGCTTTTCATCTCATCTCTCATCATGCCGCTATCCACTTTTCTCATCTTATATATATCGTAGTCAGTCTCACTCTACTTAGTTTTCCTGCAGAAGACTTACTTTTTCCGCACAGTATTATGCGCGGGATGTTTACTTTTTGCGCAGAGTTGACGAATAATATTGAACTTTTGTAGGTCTGAACACGGTACCTTCGAATTGCATGACAAACACTTAAGCCATCGCGAATATTCTACAATTAGATAGATTTTGTCTATATATTGAAAAATTAGTCAACTTTTATTTATTCTATGTTTGTACACTTTTTTTATGCATTGTGCAGTTCATAAACAAATTGACAATTCTTCCTGATTTTTTTTGTTTTACTAACAACTTTTAATTAACTATGGGTTCATCCATGGTTTTTTTATGCAGGAAAATCAAAATTCCTGCGGAACAAAAGGAACTTTCTGAATATCAGAATAATAGCAGACTTTTCTCCCAAATTCTTCTATCGAGTGACCAGGTATACGAATCTCCTAATTTGACTAGATCGCTCTAATTTTAGAGTTTTCTCCTGGTCAAAATTCTGCTGATGTTAAGAGAGTTGATTTTAAAGACTTTATGCTGTTTTCTCGTTCTAAAGATGTCTTGCGTTTCTTCCAAAGGATAACAGCTATTCATTTTAACTTTTCCAGTTTGTAGAGTACATCTCGAAATGCGTATCCTGGCGTTTCGGCTTACGATCACTAGCTGACTGAGGAAAACATTTACTTACTCTCAACATTCGTAACAATTTTCTCGAATATTTTTTAATCTATTAGTTGATTAAGATTTACAAGGATTTGGGAAAAATTTACGGGAACTAATTAATATTAAGCGATAAACAAATTTGATTGCTAAGTGCATTCGTTGTCGTACAGATGACAGTATACATGACGACCGTAATCAGAGCTTGACTCTAATATAGTTGTTTGCTTTTCGAAAAACCTCACAAATCGGCCTGTTTTTCTGATCCAAATGATCTTGCTAGGTGAAATATTATTGATTTAGCAAAATAGAGTAGAGTAAGCCCTTGCATTGTTTGGGATATATTTCTGCTGAAAAAATATGACGCAGAATCCTGAACGGAAAGTTTAATAGAAAAAAATTCTGCCTAGTTCGAAAAAAGATTTCGCCGTGAATTAATGGTTCCCGCCGAAAAAATGAAATTCCCAACGAAAAAATATTTTTTCGCAGGAATTTGCGGAATCGCGCTCATTTTTTTTCACAGGGTTCTGCGGAGAAAATATTCGGCAGAATCCTGCACGAAAATTTCCGCAGAAAAGCAGATTTTTCTACAGAAAAATAAGTCTGCATACGTTCCGAAAAAACATTTCGTCGTGAATCAGCGTTTCCCCACCGAAAACTGAAAATTTTCTGCAGAAAAATTGAAACTCCCGACGAAAAAGTATTTTCCCGCAGGTTCCTGCCGGATCACGCTCATTTTTTTTCACTGGGTGTATCTAAAAATGTAATTTTCCTCAGAATTCAAAAACTCTCAAAATTTTCATTCAAAAAAGGATCAGAATGTTTCTCAGAAAGAAACGGATGTTTACACTTGACTAACTTTCTCTCTTAGAAATAGAGAGAAGAGCAGTAGTACTTATTTTCTCGTTTCACAATGTGACCGTTGATAATCTTTTCATTTTGTTGGGATTCGGCATACAACGGTGACGGTGATTAACCTTTCACCGTTTCACCGCTCTTAAGCTTCTCCCTCCCCCGGATCAGAAATCTATCTCAGCCAAACTTTCAGGGAATGCTGACGATGTCAAAGTGTGGTAAAGAAATTGGTTTTTGGTTCCACTGGTAACTGTTCGTGAGAGGGCGCCACAACAAGGGTCAAAAATATGCGTCTATGGCTAGGAGCTGACAGAGCTCGATTTTTGAATTTCTCATTTACCGATTTCTGGTGCTTAGCAGAACCTTAAAGTCCGAAAAATCCTTACAAAGTTTCTTAGAAATCCGCATTTCTATCAAAAATAGAAGCTTAATTTGAAAATCAGACTCTGTCAACTTCTAGTTATAGGTGTTATCTACAAATCAAAAAAAAGAAAAACTTCCTCCGATGTATTGTTACCGAGAATTCCTGTGAATGGCGAAAGCCCTGAAGCTAAAAATTAGTTTTGAGAGAAAACGCTGTGTATTGGCCGATCCATTTTAGGACTTGTAGGAAAATGCTTGTAATTCTTGAATGCAAGCTCGCACAGAGTTGCGCAACGTCTTATTTTGATAAAAAAAAGTCTGCTCTACAAATTCAGAAAAAATTTACTTGCATAAGTATTCAGCAAAAAGTTATTATTTGAAGATCATAGTTTTCAAGGCTCCTAGAAAACTTTTCTGAAAATCATGAAAAAACCAGTTCGCCATACAGATTCTGAAAGCAGACACTTTGGGCTGTCTAACCATGTGCTTTTCTCAAAATCGATATTTTTGACAAAAATCGACATTTCTGACCGAGGGGGCCTTAACGGTTAACCGTTCACCGTTGTATGCCTAATTGGGATCAATCTTCATTTCTTTCGGCATTCTGTATATTCTTATCTAGTGCAGCTCCTTTGCAATATGGTCAATATATCCTTGACTCTGCACTACATCGACCTGGTCAGATGGATAATTTTTGCAAAAAATTTCATTCGCTTTCTTCATCCAGTCTAGAGCTTCGACAAGGCTACCTTTTTGGTAGTGTGCCCAACACAAGTTGTAATACGTTATAGCTAATGTTAGATGATATATTGGAAGTGAGCTTAACTGAATTTCAAGTGTTTTTTTGTAATATTCAATCGCTTTATTATAGTCCTTTTGTTCATAGTAAACTGATCCAATATTAACGTATGACACTGCAATGTCGGGACTAGTACTGGGCAGAATTTGCAGCCGGATTTTCAGAGATTTTTCGTACATTTCTAATGCTTCTGAGTAATGTTCTTGTTTCAAGTACACCGTTCCAATGTTAGCAAAATATATTCCAATCTGTTTTTGATTAGGTGTTGGTGCATTCAGTTGAAGATGTAATGCTTTCTTAAAAATTGTTAGAGCACGATCTAGGTCACCGTGCACCAAATAAATTTCCCCCAAACTGTTATATGTCGGCGCTAAAGCGGGATTGTCTGGCGATGTATGCCGTATTCGTAATTCTAAGCCTTTTTCATAAATTTCTATTGTTCTGTCGAAATCACTACTGATTACAAAGTAAGTGTGTCCAAGCGTATTGTAGACTTCGGAGAGGATCAAACCATCAGATGTAATTGTAGGATCTTGTAGGGCTAACTTACAGAACTGTTCAACTTTATTGAATTGTCCCATATGGCGAAGCAATAAAATTAAGTTGAGAAGCGGGTGTGATGTTACTTCAATCGTAGCCTTCATATGTTTCGTTAATTTTCGAAGTTGTTCGTCTTCTTCACCCGTTAGTTTCAATTGGACATTCCATATTCCGTTTGGTTGCTGTACGACGGATATAATTTTAAAGACAGTGCCCGTGGTGAAAAGAACTTCCGCTTCCGTTTTGTAGAAACTCAAGTCCTGAATATCAACAAATGCTGTTTTACACTTGTCAACATCAACGTTCATTTGCAACAGGACCGCATCTTTACCATGGACAGGATGCTGTGCAAAGCCGACTGCGACTTCTTTGTTCGTACTCGTGCTCAAGAAACTGGTCATTGACAAGAAACCGCCAACGTTGTTTTTAATTTTATCGAACTCAACCGGAAAGATACCTAGACCGCGGTAGACTGTCAGTGTTTTAGTCTTCCCAAGAGTTTTAATGTAGTCAGGATGTAAGACAGACAACTGTTCGTGTAAATCTTTGATAAAAAAACGAAAGCTGTACAGAAGATCAATGTCTTGTTCTCTTAATGCTTTGTTCAAGAGAGTATACAGAAAGGTGGGACGAGTGTACCACAAAATAGCTAGAGTTGGATCATTGTAGTCTCTCTCGAACTCATTAACTATCGCTAAATCATCTTCATGTCCATTTTCTAGAAGCCATTTTCGACAAGCATCAATCATGTCTGACTTTGTAGCATCATTACGTTTCATGTCAAGAAGAATGTCTTTGAGAAGTTGCGCATACATGAATTCAGGTTCCTGGCGTGCATTACTATCACCCTCAACAGATTCTGCGCTTACTATATTCATGGGCACGTCGTCGTTTTCGATACGAGCCGTATCTCTGAGTAGCTGTTCAGAAAGAGTTGCAGTTGTAGAATAGACGCCACGAACTTTGTCGTTGGGTGGCTCTGTATCGTCTGCGTTTGAGCCATAGGTATAAATTGAGTAGATTTGTGACTGACTTTGGAGTCGAGGAACAGCCTCATGTATGAACGAATCGGAGATGATCAAAAGGACCTTTTCCTTTCGAATCATTTGGATGTAGGTGAGACATTCTTCGATATTATGAAACGATTTGAGACGATTCAAGAGAGAACGAAGTTCGGATGGAAGAGGGTCGTTGTAGATTCTTTCTTCACCAAGATACACAATAATAAAATCACCAAAGATTCTTCGTTGCTGAGTAGGAGGACGATCGTTTGCCAGCGAAATTGTATGAGTTGGTTGAAGAGTGACTCTCGACGGTTGAACTTCGGAGCCTGAAAAGAAAAAGTTAGACAAGTAGAGTGGTTAGAGTACTGACAATTGTTATAAAAACGGCATTATATAACTTCTCTTCTTTTCCTTTAACTTTTTTGAAAGACTCTTACAGTCACTGTGTTTATTAGGTGTGATTTCTGGTGGAACATTGACATTTTCTGTGACTTGAGCAGCAGTCGAGTGATGAAACGCAGTCAGTTGTACTGCATTTGCCATTGGGCAGCAACCCATTTTTTTAATTACTGGTTTAGAAATGGTAGATACAGAAGAATGATGTGATTGAGACTGAAAGAAAAACAAACTGTTTCGCTCGTTTCCAACAGAAAGGTAATGTGTGTATTTTGATTAATAATATTCAAGAGTAAAAGCACTTTTATGCATTCATTTTTAAAGGTGAAGAAACGCAAAAATAACTATAACGGAGTAAACACAGTATAGCACCTTTGCACGATGTAATCTTAAACATTTATTCCCGTGACTGAAAGTCTAGAATCATACAAACAAAATGTCCGTCCGTTCGTCCGCAGTAGACGAATGACATCTTCGTGAATGACAACTAGCGTGAAGAAAGTTTTTTCTCAGTTTTGTGTCTAAAAAGCTGAAAAGTGCAGCTCTCGTTTGACTGAGCATCTTCATACCGAAGAATCGATGTAACTGAGAAAAAAGATGGATTTTTGTTTGCAAAATTTGTTAACATGTTTAGAGAATAATATATCAGTAAAGTGTATTTTTATTGGATGAAATCCCATAAAACGCAATTTTTCTCAGATTTGTGGCTGAACAGTCGAGAATTTCATTTCATTTTATTTAGCTTAAATCTAAGCAGGGAAACAGGAAAAGCCCCCGACTTGTAAATACTGCTCCCAAAAATCTTTCCAAATATGAACGCACAGAAAAAAAAGAGAAGAAAGACAACTTACAAAAAACAGCAAGTAAAGTTAGAAGAACCGTTTTGAACATCCAATAGAACAATAAACATTTACATTTAGTAACAGAGATGAGTTTGTAGGCGAGCTTTAACAAGTGGTAAAGAAACAACAATAGCATTAGAAGTGTTAGCGGGATCAGGATTGCTAATGACATGCTGCGGAAGTTTGTTCCACTCGTCCGCTGTTAGATAGAAGAATGATCCCTGTACACTTTTCATTGATGTGAAAGGAACAAGCACCGGGAAAGGATTTTGGTTTAGATGAAGACTGACTCTTGTATCACGCATAGAAATTATACGAAATTTAGATAGACGATATTTCGAATAACACTTTATAAAAGTGTAGAAGACGAAAGTAGCGTCTACGGGAGACAAGGTCTGGCACTTTATTTTACGAAGAAGGTCATCAGCATTAGAATGAAAGTCGCATAAAATCATCCGTGCTGCTAGCCTGTGCGAAGAAGCTAGCCTGGAATAGAAAGACGTAAACAAACTGTCGTGAACAATTGACCCATAGTCTATAGCACTCATGATGCACGCCCAATAGATTTGTAGCTTAATTTCCGCTGGAGCATTTCTGAATATTCTATTCATCGTACCTAGACGACGTCTAAGTGAAATAACTAGTCTGTCTACGAGAACATTCCAGCGAAGATTAGATGAAATAGTCACACCTAGTAAACACAGACTCTTTACTCTCTGAATAGAAACACCTGCAAGATTGAACTGAAGATCTCCATGCTGGGGGAAATTCGAAACAAACATCCATTCACACTTAAAAGTATTGATAGACATAAGATGTGAAGTGCACCGCTCCTCGATAGAATTTATGTATGATTGACAATTAGCTAGAGGCACAAGAACTATAGCAGGAGAGGGTAGAGTATAGTCATCGGCAAAGAGAGAAGCAATTGAAGGTAGAGAAATGTGATCACGTAAATCGTTGATGAAAATGAAAAAGAAAAGGGGTCTCGGGATTGAACCCTGGGGCACTCTTGATTGAATAAACGAGCAAGTAGAAAGAGAATCGCCAATGCGAATTTGCTGAGTACGATTAGACAAATAACTAGAAAACCACATGAACATTTCATTCTTAACACCAAGAGAGGAAAGACGCGCTAAAAGTAACTGGTGAGGAGTTCTATCGAACGCGCTTCCGTAGATCAAACGTTACAAGAATAGAATCAATGGAAGAATTCATGTTTTCATAAAGATGATGAAGAAGAAACAAGAGCGCGTCAATTGTAGAAGATTTCGGTAGAAAACTAAACTGAGTAGAACAGAAGAAAGAATGAAAACTTAAAAACCCAAACAGTTGGTCAAAAATAAATCTCTCAAGGACTTTACCTATAACGCACAATAATGACACTGGGCGCTAGTTCTCTACCATGCATTTCGAATCTTTCTTATGAATAGGACACACTACGGCGTTGTTCCAAATGGATGGAATTGAGTGAAACAGAAAAAATTCGATGTAACTGTAGTGAAATGACTGCTGCTATCGTCTTAGGAAATTTAACCGTAATAGCATCAGCGCCAGCTGCAGTATCATTTTTAAGAGAAGAAATGGGTGCGTCAAACCATAGTATTTAAGGCACCGAGTGTACCTTCTCCAAGCATTAAACGTCGATTAGGAAGAGCTAACACAACAACTCTGATTGAATCAACAACAAAGAGGTCTCCAAGACAACCTGAAGCAATAACTACTCCAAAACTACAAGGAATATCATTATTAGATAATATACTGAATGTCGCAAATTATTACATAGTGACGATGACGGTGATGATAACGAGAGCAACAATTTTCTGTATCGGGAAGAACGACAAACTTTAGGTGATCATCAACAAACACAGACAAACGTTCATCTTATATTATTCATCTTATTAATTTCCCCAGTAATTACCAACATTTCCTCGAAATTACGGAAATTTCTAAGAATTTTGATACTTTCGAGGCTAGGGATCCGTAGTCCTATTACTATACATTTATTTGTATATCAATGTCTATCAAAGCGACAAAATTTCAGTAATTTCCCAATAATGACCAAAGATTTCTCAAAATTACATTAAAAATCTTCCCACTTTCGAGGGTCGAGAGCCCTATTCCTGTACATTTATTTGTATATCTAAGTCTATAACAAGAAATTTCAGAAATTTCCTAATAATTACCAAGAATACCTCGAAATTACCGTAATTTCTCAAAACCGTCTTATGTTTGCGCGTAGGGGTTTCTATTTTAACGGATATATCTCTCAAATACATAAAAGAAATTTCAGTACTTTCCCAGTAGTTAAAAAAATATCCTCGAAAATAGGGAAATTTCTAAGAATTTTGATACTTTCGAGGGTAGAGGTCGCCGTTCCTATAGATTTATTTGTATATCTATGTCTATAAAAGCGAAGAAATTTCAGTATCAAAAATACCAAAATTTCCCCGAAATTACCGTAAACTCCTAAAACTCTCTTATGTTTCGGGGTAGCGGTATCTATTTTAATTTAAATATCTGTCAAATCAATAAAAGTAATTTCAGTAATTTCCAGTACTTACGAAAATTTCCCCGAAAATAGAGGAATCTCCAAGAATTTTGATACTTTCTAGGGTACGGGACCCCAGTGTTGAAAAATTAGACAATATGTTAGACTTAAATGAAGATTGGAAGAGAGAAACGTCTTTAAGTAAAGAAAGCTTAATTCGATTATTTGAATTTTGTATTGAAAATGTAATATTTCAGTTTCGCAATAAAACTTATTATCAGTTAAAAGGTCTACCTATGGGACTTTCTATATCGCCATTTTTGACTCATATTCTTGTCAACGAATTTTTAGCAAAATACTAGGATTAACGCAGAGGAGATACTTACACACAAAACGTCTCTATCTCCGTTTCGATGTAAATCTGACCTTTACCCTATCTTGACGTAATTCAAAACCTTTCTTTTAGGCGGATAAATAAACGAGGTCTTTAGGAGTAATAGTACCTATTTTGTCCGCTAAATACTATAACTTAATGCATCCGTGCAAAAATCAACTGGCTCTCTAAAAACTACTCGACAACTTAAAAAACAAATCAGGTTATTATTACCGTCTGCTGTGTCTGTAACTGTCTGTATTTGGACGAATAAATTGTGTGCTGTGTTTACGATATGTAAAAGACTTTTAATATGAAATAATGAAACGCACTCGGTGCTCTTATACTTCTCTCGATTGTGGTTATTCAGTCTATATTTCTTTTACTACCGGACTGGCTAAGAAACAGCTAACTGTTCTGTGTATATGCAAAAAAGAAAAAAAAGAAAAAGTTACAACGTGTCTTAAAACGTGACTACTGGACGAAAACGTTGTCCTGCTACCGTTATAACAACTTCTGAATAAGAAAACCTATCGAAAAGTAAAAGAAAGCAGCCTTTCAATTTGTAGAGGATACTTCGAAGTATGTATCCTGAATTTTTTGGTCTTACAGACATTTATTTAGCTGAGAAAAATTAGTTACTTAAAAATAGATTCCTTGGGCAAACAATCCTAAAATATGATCTTATACGGTATTAGAAGATCTTGTA